GAGACCCATACACAGAGATGGAGGGGAGGCAGCATCCCAGAGAAGTGAGGGAGATGAGTAGCCAGCCCGGCCCAGGAGGCACAGCCCCCCGCCCACCTTCAGTCACCTGTGCTCTGGGCGGCCCGCACCAGCCCGCTTCGCAGTAGGTCCTGCAGCCAGGTCTGGAGGATGGAGCCCCCCGACCCCCCCAACACTGACACCACCAGGTTCGGGGCCCGGAAGCCCCATGTGCGCGTGACCAGATTATAAACTGTAGATGGATCCGTGCGGTCAGAGAGCCGAAGGAACTGTGGACACATAGAAGGAGGGGACATGGAGACGGGGACAGAGACAGAGAAGGGAGAAAGGGACAGAGACACAAAGAAAGGAGGACAGAGATCCACGGGGTAGGGACAGAGACCCAGAGAGAGGGGAACAGAGACTCAGAGAGAGGGGGGACAGAGACCCAGAGAAGGAGTCAGAGATCCAGAGAGGATTGGGGTGACAGAGACCCAGAGAGAGGAGAACAGAGACCCAGAGAGAGGAGAACAGAGACCCAGAGAGAGGAGAACAGAGACCCAGAGAGAGGGGGGACAGAGACCCAGAGAGAGGGGGGACAGAGACCCAGAGAGAGGTAAAGGCAGGGATGGGCAAATGGGGAGACACAGTGTTTAGCTGGGTCGCCCCCAGGCCCCAGCTCTGGGAGCCCCTGAGGCATGCAGTCCCACTTGTGGACCCTGGCCCTGCCCAGGCATGCAGGCCTCACATTGCTGGCCTTGCGGCCGGCGCCCTGGAAGTCCAGGTCTCCATAGGCATCGGTGGGTTTCTCCGTGGTGTGCAAGTCACTGTCCCAAACGGTCACCACGGCTGCCCCGAATGCATCCTCCACAGCCACTGACAGATGGTCACTCCGGGGACGCCCACACTGGCACAAAGTCCCTCTGGGAGGTAGTGATAAGGGGGAGCATGAACCCCAGAGGTGTCCCCACCGGCCCCAAGCATCCTGAAGAAGTGCCCATACTTCTGCCTGCCCCCACCCCCACCCCCCAGCGGCAGTCACAGTCCCTGCTGACCCTGGCCCTGCCCCTCCCTGGTTCCAACCAGCCTGAGGGAGAGTCTAGTGGGAGGAGAGACAGTTATCTTGCCCACCCAAGGAAGAAAGCCGCAGGGGCTCATGGAAGCCTGAGCAGGGAGGTCTGCAGAGCGCCCATCCCCTATCCATTGGTGCCTGTAGGGCCTAAAATGGAAGAGTGCAGAGGATATTCAGGGGGTGTACTCCCTGCCCCTAGTCCAAACAGATGATAGTCACCATGAAAAAGGAAAATCCAGACACTCAGAGAGGGTACAAATGCTAGAAGCTAAAGCAGCTGTGTGACTTTGGGCAAGTGGCTTCACTTCTCTGAGCCTAAATTTCCTCCTCAAATGAAAAGACAATAATAACACAGCCTACTTCATTGAACTATGAGGAGCCAGTGACATAACGCAATGTTTCCTGGAATGGGGGTTGCATACCAGACCCAGTGGAAAGTCGACTCCACAAGAACACCACACAGAGCTTTAAATAAACTTGAATAACAAACACAGTGAGAAAGTCCTTCCTTTTTCAGTTCTGATTACTGTGAAGGAGAGAGGCTCAGCTGGTGCTAGAATATGTTTAATGCCTAACCCTTGCTATTCTTCTTCTCAACAGAAAAGCTGGCCTCGAGCTCAGAAAATTGGGCTGGCAACAGCATCCTGTGAGAAAGTAAATACCTTTATTTGCTTTTCATTATTATAATTGTCTTGAATGGCTTCTTTCCTTTTGTGGCAAATGGAACAGGTTTTCCATTTCTGGTGATCACATATGATACTTCCCTGCCTCCCCTAAATAAATGTACAAGTAGTCTTGCTATCTAAATGCAATTGGCACCAGAGATTTAAAGAGCAAGCAACCTGGGCTTGGGGAATGAGGGGTTTATTTGCAAATGTATCCAAATCTCTTTGTTTCCGGATTCTAGATGGTATTCAGATCAAGGGGATGCCTGCATTTACATAAAGGAAGTGAGCCTTGATTTAAGGACCAATTTAATGGAAAGAATGGCACAGGTGGTACGTGGATTTGGCAAAAGCTGTGAAGACACTAAAAGAATGGCCAAATGACCCACACACAGGATGAACAGATATACACTCAGCCCAGCTCCTGGCACAGTGAGAACCACAGTGAAGGACACACCCTCTCCTCCTTTCTCAGTCTACCTCCAAGGTCCTGGCATGCCTCAATTTACCCACTTGATCCTTTCACTCATCTCAATCCCATCCCTGGACCCCCTCGTTCCCTTCCACCTACTTCTCACTAACCCTTCCTGGTAAAACTTCTTCATGGAATGTTCCAGAACCTGACCTGTCCAATACTGTAGCCTCTAGCCACATGAGACTTTTTACATTCAAATAAATTACAATTAAATACAATTGAAAATTCAGTTCCTCGGTTGCTCTGGCCACATTTCAAGTGGTCAGGAGCCACATGTGGTCATTGGCTGCCATATTGGATGTGGATATACAACGTTTCCACCACCACAGAAAGTCGTGGTGGACAGCGCTGGCAGACTCGCCCTCTGCACTTATCACCTCTTACCCTCCTTCCTCTCAGCATGGCCACCGAAACTGAAATTGTTCCCGATAAGATCAGCAGTTACCTGCATATCCCCAAATACAATGGCCTCTATTCAGGTCTCATCTATCACAAAGTGGCTGGCACTGGTCACAGCTGAAAGGCCCTGGTTCTAGAAATCCTTTTCCTTGGCAGAATACACATGCCCCCCAAACCCCAGCTGCTCAGTCCCTCCCTCATCTGTGGCTTTCTCTTCCTCTGTGCCTCCTTTGAGTGTAAATGGTCCCCCGATCCAGGACCACATGGCTTCCCTATGCAGGTCTCAAACTCGATGCCTCCAGGGGCCAGGCAAATAACTTAAGGAAAAGAAGCATCAAGTGGAAAATTAGTGGACATGCTGGAGCCTGTGGTAAGTTGAGGCATGCATGTTTGAGACAGGTTTTTAAAACTGCTCTTCCACGCAAAAAAATTTAAAAATCAGTCACAGAATTGCCAGTTTGGAACCTTTGTGACTTTTCACACTTTTTCCCTGTGACATCTCACCTACTTCTGCAGTTTCCATTACCACCGACAGGTAGGACTTTTCAAATCCTGGATGGAAGTCCCAGATCTCCCTGAGTCCCAGACCCACGTCTGCAAGAACCCCCGGTCTCCCTGGGTCCCTCTAACTCACGAGATCTCATGCTGAGCTCTGCAGCTTTTCCCAAACTTGTTCATTCTCCTGGGTTCTCCATCTGTCACCAAGGCCCCAGACCAGATGTCCAGGAGCCACTCTCCCCTCACCTTACTCCAAATCCATCAGTCCCCAAGCTTTTGCCCTCCTCCTCTCCTCTCAGTGTCTCCACAGCCCTGGCCTGGCTCAGGCCTCTTCCCCTCCCACCCAGACCCTTGCACAACCTCTTCCCTAGCTTCTCAAACTCCTATTAATTCTCACATGGCTCCCAGAGGGTCTCTTCACATCCAGAGCTGACCCTGCTCTCCCGTGGTTCCCCAGCACCCCAGGACAAGGTCCTGGCCCCTCAGGTATTTGAGGCCCTGTGAGGTCTGGCCCTCATCAACCTCTAGGGCTTCCTCGCTCATGATAATGCTCCTTTCACCCTGAACTTTGCTCCATTTTCAAGCCATGCCACATTGTCAATAGGGGGCAATTTGCCCACGCTGTTCCGGCTCCTGGAATCACTTTCCTAGTTCCTCACTCCAGCCTGCCTCCGGCTGTCAAACTCCAACTGCTCCTTCAAATGTCACCTCACTGGTCCCTCCTCCAGAAGACATTAGTGACACCCTGTCTCCTCCCCAGTCTTAGCCAGATGCCTCCTGTCGGCTCCGGTTGGACCCAGTGGCGCATCCTTTGCAGCTCCCGTCCCCTTGCCTTACAATTGCCCTCCTTCCGCCAGACCAGACATTCCTAAACTTTCTTGACCATACTCCCACCAGTAAAAGTTTTTGAGCATTCACCCCCATAAATGTATATGTTTATTTATACATAATTATAAGCCGGACTACACTAATATGTTTACAACAAAACACAAACTAAATTAGGAAGGTTGACATTTCCCAAGCCCGGAAGATTGTCTTGAGAATAACTAGAAAACCAGAACCCACTAAAGAGACATTGCTGAAGGCCAGGAGCTGCCCAAGGGTGGCAAACACCTGGTCTGGCTCATGCGGTGCCCCGGCTAACCAGCACAAGCTCAGGGCCTCTGCACATGTAGTAATTGCTCCCTTCCCATGGGAAATGGAGACATTTTTCAGTGCTTACATTATTCTGGGCACTGTTCCAGAAATATCGCAAGCGTGTAATTCCCACGATAACCCCAAGAGGTAAGGTCTGTTTTTATGCCCAGAAAACAGGCGAGGCCCAGAGACGTGAACCGATTTGCCCCAAGCCACACAGCATGTTTTCCCAGGTGAAATGTGAACCCTGGCATGTCCTGTGCTACTGAAAAGTATGCTCCCTTGGGAGCGCTGAACGGAAGTTTCTTGAATGGATGGATGGGATGGATGAAACAGACACAGCAAAAAGGGAAAAACAGAGAAAGTAACCCAAGAAGACAGAGACACGGGGAAGAAAAGAGGTAGAACCGAGCCCTGGCGCTTTAACACTGACTCAGAGGGAGCCTGGGAAATTGGAAGTGTCTGCAGAGACCCAAACCCTCCCTAAGGGAGAGCACCACCAGGGAACGCCCTTGGACGTGTCCGCAGAGTCAGGAATAAGGGTGGCGCAAAGGGTGGGATCTGCGGTGGGCGGGGTCAGCGGGCCCAGAACGGTCCCAGCGGGTTCCCCGGGGCGAACTCCTCACCCCGGATCTGTGAGGTCAACGATGAATGTCGTGCACGTCTTCTTCTTGAAGATCTTGGGGATCCAACTCTGGGGACAGGAACAAGGGGTGGGGGTGGGGGGCTCCAGTTCAGTCCTATGGGGCACGGAGTCATTCACCCCGCGCCCTACCCCGGGACCAGAAGGCAAGAACCCCAGCGCCTTCCTCCCCCAGACTGAGGAGTCTCGAACCCCCTCCACAGTTCCCCTCCTATCTGTCCCCAAGGATCCAGGAATCCCGGCCCCTCCAAACCCCTTCTTCGTCTGACCCCAAAATCTGGGTCTTCAGCGCCCTCTGCTCTGGGAGCCAGGAGGCCAGGCACCCAACTCCCTGTTCCCTCAAACCCGGGGGTCCGGCCGCTGTACCTGCTCCTTCTCCGGACCCACCATGCCGCCGCAGCCGCCGCAACCTATCCAGCACCCCACATTCCCTCCACCACCCCGATTCCAGATCCGCCCTTGACAAACCGGATCCGCCACCTCCCAACCCAGCTTGGGGCGGGGCAAGGTCGGGGG